AATTTTAAATGGTTAAATCAAATTTGTCCCGAATTCCCGATTAAATGTTGATTTGTGGTTTGGTTGTGTGGGTTGTGGGCTTTTAAAATGAAAAATGAGTTTAATTTATGGGTTATCTAGTCAAAACTCACTAAGTCAAGATGAGAAGCCCAAAAGGAAATAGGCTAAAAGTCCAACTGCGAAACAAAAGGTAAAATCGAGATTTTACTTGATTTCACCTGATTTCATGGTAAAATCTAGATTTTACCGTGAAATCCCAAGATTTTATGAATTTCAGATTTTAATATAGATTTTACACGAAATGTCTTGATTAAATTATAAAATCGTAAGATTTTAAGATTTAAATTTAAATTTTGATAACAATGATCAAGTGGCTCTTGAGGCACTAGAAAAATAAATTACTCAACCTTTTTTTCTTTTTCTTTTCCTTTTTCCTATTATTCTATTTAATTTTTAATATATAAAATAAAAATACTAAATTAATAATTATTTTGTTATTATTATTTCACTATGAATTTAGTTTTTTAAGGTCTCATGGTCATAAAGATAATAAAAGAAAGCAAAATCTTGCTTTTTTCGTTTTTTTTTTTTCTTTTTTGTTAAGCAATATTTAAAGTTTGACTGTCAAAATTTCTTCAAGTTTGTTCAAGAATAGTTATTTTAATAAAGCAAATGACAAAGTTTGCCCTGTCAACAAATGTTACGAGTGCTGGAGGCATATTGAATGATTCATGGTTTCGCCTAGTTCGTAGGTCTGGACTTCTTTGTCGTTTGACCACCTAAGAAAATTGATATTGATGGTCTTGGAAGTCGTAGATTTGCTTGATGATCAACTGTTCTGTTTTATCAACAAGCTTATGTTTCTAAATGACAATTGTGGCATGTACAACAGATGATGACTTCAGAGAGTTTGTGAAGAAAGTCCCAGAAGGTTGTCGCACAACAATTGTATCTGATTCTTGCCACAGTGGTAGGCTGATTGACGAGTTTAAGGAGCAGATTGGAGAGAGCACAAAGAATGAAGAATCAAGTTCTGGTTTTGGGTTCAAGGACTTCTTGCAGCACAAAGTGCAAGATGCATTTGAATCTCGTGGGATTCACATCCCTTCTGGATTGCGCCACCACCATGGGGAAGAGGAAGGCAATGATAGGGGAGTTTTTGAAGAGGGATATGGTGATTATGGCTATGTGAAAAATAAATCTCTGCCCCTCTCAACTCTTATTGAAATACTCAAGCAGAAAACTGGTAAAGATGACATTGATGAGGGAAAGCTCAGGCCAAC